CGCCACTGTAAAACATCACAATCTGTTTTTCTACTCTTTAAGTCACATATGGTGGTAGTTCCCTCACTGTGTCCTTCAGAAGGATGCTACACAGACACACCATGCACAAGCCCCTACAGCCCTATTTTCGGTGCAGTTACTAATGACAGATGTTTCCATTCATTCTCACTGTTACTAACAGGGTATCTTAAGCTATTTTTGACATTTTCACATGTAACTAAACCCAAAGTAACAACAACAACAAAACAGTATCAGCAAACAACAGCAGGAATACCTAACACATGTCAGGAGATGAACCTGGTAAAAGGAAGTCAGTGTCAGACTATGAAGAGATCTGCTAAGGGATTTGGACTTTCTCTCACACACGAAGATGCAATGGGCACCTCGGTATGCTGGAGTCAGGATCTATCACCAAATGAGCTTGAGTGCTGAACTTACAGACAAAACAATCTTTGTTTTCAGGGTTTTACAGACCCAAAGGGCTAAAGGACTATGGAACTGTGCTCCTCTGTGTGTGTTCACTGTTGTTTACTTAATGTACATATTTGGATGGGTTCTAATCTTTCCTTATTACAAATAATGCTACAATGATAAGCCCTACATTGGATACATTTTTACAAGCAGAAGAGCTAAGACAAAGAGTTATTACATTTGTAACTTTTTGTAGATTTTTGCTAAGTTGCTCTCCATAGGGGTTATACTACTTTTTAAGTCCTCAAACAATCTAAAATAGTACCTATTTCTTTATAATTTCGCCAATAGAGGATAACAGCAAACATCTGCATATCCATCAGTCTAATAGGAAAGAAAGACTATCTTGGTGTCTTGCATTACCTTATTATCAGTGAAGGTGAGAATCATTTCAAATATTTAGAATTTATTTTTTTTGCTGTTGTTTATTTGTTTTTATCCTTTGCCCAATTTCCCACTTGGTTTTTAGTATCTTCAAAAAAGTCAAATTCTATAAGCTCCTTGTTTATTAGGACGTTTAGCCCTTTCCTTATGGTATAAATTATAAACATTTTTCTCACTTTGTTAGGGAGAGAAGAAAAATGCAATTAATGCCAAATGCCACATATTAACATATACCCCTCATCATATATGTCACTGTTAATTCATTCAAGTAGTTGATTAAGTGTTAAGCACTACATTAGGTAATAAGCATAGATCCTGTCTAAATCCATCTTAAAGGTCAAGCAACTGCAGAAACAAGATGACAAGGGTTGTAATAAAGATATGTATAGCAAATTCTATGAGATCTGAAGATAAAACACAACTACCTCAGCTTACAGTAAAAAGTCTTCTGGCAAATATGACATTAGATTTGGGCTTTGAAGGACATCACCAGAAAGAAAAAGGTTAGGGATAGTCATTCTAAAGAAAAGAACTGCAAAGCATGGAAGGGTCATGGTACAATAACGGCTCATCAAATGTGGCTGGTGTTCACCAAACAGTGTGATACAGATGAGGAAGAGGCAACAACACGTGAGGGAATGAACCGGTAAAAGGAGATTGGTGGTAGACTATGAAGGGATCTGCTAAGGAATTTGGACTTTCACATACAATGGGACCCACAAAAGATATTTAAGTAGGAAAAAATATATAATCAGACACACATTTCATAAAAAACATTCCAGTAGGAATATGAAGTATGGATGAGAAGCAGCGATACAAGTTTGGTTGCTCCTGGAGGAGCTAACCCATAGAAGATGACCAGACCTCCACAGTGGCTGTGATGAATAGCCATATTCATCAGAGATGTATCAAGTAAAAAAAAATAAAATAAAATCCCCAGGACTTGGGATACCCACAGATATTAGAATATGAATGAGGGAGAAATCTAGGGAGATTTTAGCTTGTCTGAGTAGACGGTGGTGTCATTATAATTGAAATTGGGAATACTGGCAGAGTTAGTAGATTTGGGTAGGGTAGAAATAGGGGGTGGGTAAGAAATAATAGGTTCTATTTGGATCTGTAAATCTAATTATCTGTGGCTCACCTGGAGACCTAGACATAAGCAGTAGGCCACACGTAAACATAAATCTGAAGTCAAAAGCGAGCCCAGAACACAGGTAGAAGTTGAAGCTGAAGTCACAAGGGTGAAGACTGTCACAGGAGGAACTGGAGCAAGGGAAGTGCACTAAGTAAATAATACCAGGGAACACAAACATTTAATAATTGAAAAAGATATTGCTCCACGACTAAAGATTGGTAAGAGTCGATGACCTAATCTACATATTACCTATAAGTCACATAGTCCTGATTCAGTACAGCACTTAGAATAGTATGGTGCAAACAAAAAGAACTCAAACATTAACTAAGAGACTTCTTCATTCAGTCTTTAATATCAGATATAAATAAAAACCTTAATCAATCCCTATCTTAAAAAAAAAAATTCTTTAGTGTTACTTTTACCTGGATAATTGTGTGAATTTATATATCCCCTGCTATAATAGTAAACCACTGCATTGAAGGGAGGAGGAATAGGACCTAAAGGCAGTTTAGACACTGGGAAATTAAACCTGTTCTAAGTGTTTTTACAATTTTGGCTTCGATTAATCCTGTTTGTTGAATGTAGTAACTAGGTACTCATTAACATACTGCTGTAATTTCTGACATCTAACACATAAAATCTTCTGAAGATAAGATCTCAACACTGAGATTAAATGTTGTGGTAAATTTATATTCAAATCCACATCCATAAAATATAGATAATACAGCTATATTACAGAACTGTTGTAAGGTTTAGAGACTAGGTAGTCTTTTGACACCACCTGACACACAAGAGTTATTCAATAGTATCTCAGGGAGCCAAAGGGATAAAAATTATTATAACGTAAGACACAAAAAGTGCCATTTTCCTTGAAAAATAATTGATAACAGCTAACATTAATGTTTACTGTACACTAAGTACTATAAGTATTTTACATGTACTAATTCATTTAACCCTTTCAAGAAACCCCAAAAGTTAGGTACTAGCATTTTTCCTATTTTACAGATGAAGTTGGGCACAGAAAGTTTAAGTAACTTGCCCAGGGTTACAGAGTATATAAACACTGAAACTAGGATTCAAACAAACAGTCTGATTACAAAGTGCATGGACTTCCACCAAGTTCTACCGCCTCTTTACCTCCTTCAATTTTTAAAATTCTCGGTACTTCTACAAGCACAATTTGCATAAATTTTAAGGACTTTATAATCCCTGAAGTAAGGGATCTATAGACTCTAAGTACCACTGCTTGAAACCAAAGCTTATATTAAATATTATTTTATCATTGCAGAAATAAAGAAATCTTTTCTTAAAATACAATTACCAATAAAACAATACTAGGCTTAAAATGAGTACTCAGTCATTTTGCTTAACTTAAAAAGTATAGATAACAATAGCTAACATTTATTGAGAATCAGGTATTATTTTAAGCACATTTTTGTACAACCTCATCTAATTCTCCCAACTTTATGAGGCAGGTACTTCTATAAGCCCCAATTTATCGATAGGGTTACTGAGGTCAGAAGTATTCAAATAACTTATTCGGTAACAAGAAACTGCTATCAGGTACAAAATTCTGAGTACCACCCCACACTAATTAAATTACATAATGAATGCTGCCCATCAAAAGAGGACTGGATTTAAAAAATGTGGTACATATACACGATGGAATACTACACAGCCATAAAAAAGAACAAAATCATGAATTTCGCAGCAACCTGGATGGAACTGGAGTCTATAATACTGAGTGACCTCTCACAGAAACAAAGATCCGAGTATCACATGTTCTCACTCATATAATGGACCTTGAACATCCAATGTAATACTATTAGAAAATGACTGACGGTACTGGGAAACTATGGGGGGGGAGGAGGATGGGATTAACAGTAGCAAATATCTGTCTGGGGATGGGAAAACACCTCTTATCAACAGGGTGCCTGAATGAAACGTAATTGTACACCTAACCCTTAACTGTACCCCACAAAACCATCATAAAAAATACTGATTAGAAAATAAATAAATAAATTACATAATGAATAGAAAAGCACTTTATAAGTGATCGAGGATCATGTAGTTATTGTTTATTAGGTAATTATCATTAGAAAGTTTTTAAAAAGTGATAGTGATATAAAGACAGGCAGCCTCCTAGGAAACACTGGCCAAAAAACCACTAACTTTCCAGATTGAAAACTTTACTGAGGTCATGTTTTCTCCACCGCTGCCACCTCCAAATCTACTCTGCTCTAGCACAGGGCCGGCAGTATAACATAATTTTTGCCCTTTAACATGCTAAAGCAACAGATATTTTCCTGTACGCTTCTAGTCTGCTCAAGCCCTGGATCGCTGCTCCGCCATACTAGTTACTTTGCAGTAATTGAGGCTTGCAATGCAACGGTCAGGAGTTCAGATAACGAACTAGGTTCTTCGGCCTAATTCCTTTGCCCCTTAAAAAAAAAAAAAAAAAAATCCCTCTAAGAACGAAGGGAAAAGTAAAAAAGCATTAGCGTTGAGCAGCCAGACTTCCCTTAAATACGAGATCCGCACTAGTCAACGTCAAACACTGCATTTTCGCGAGCCTGTCCATGTGAGTTTCAAGTCCAGGCCTCCCCCAGCCTAAAAAAAATCCCCTCTCGCCAACGGGCCTCGGCTGTTCTGCCAGCCCGGGCCAGCGTGCGACCCCCCCCCCCCCCCCCCCCCCCCCCCC